TTTTGGGGTCGTGACATTATGTCTCTACGGGAAAGAGGTGGAACTAAAATAATATTATTGTCGACAACGTTTTTGCTTATAATGTTGCTGTTAAAATAATGCAATAAGATGAGGATATTGAACCAAGATTTGTTGATGAATGTAAACAGAGAAATGATTGGCCAAAATGGAAAGACATTATCTAGGCAGAATTAACTTCGCTTAAAAAACGTGAAGTATCCGGACGTAAAGCTTGAACACCTGAAGGAATAAAGCCAGTGTGATACAAATGGATTTTTGTGTGCAAAACGAAATGATAAAAATGAAGTCGTTATATATAAAGCATGATTTGTGGCACAAGAATTTTTGCAAAGGACTGACATTGATTATATGGAGACATATTCTCCTGTGGTGGATGCAATCATCTTTATGTATCTTATAAATCTGGCAGTCCATGAAAAACTTGATGTGCGTCTGATGGATGTTGTCACATCCTATTTGTATGGCACATTAGACAACGAAATTTATATGAAAATCCCTGAAGGGTTTAAATTGCCTGAATCTTATAAAAGTTTTCGGAAAACTTGTTCAATAAAGCTTCAAAAAGCCTTATACGGATTGAAACAATCAGGGCGAATATGGCATAATCGCGTGAGTAAGTATTTGCTAAAGAAGGGTATAAGAATGATCCAATTTGTCCTTGTGTATTTATAAAAAGGTCCGGATCTGAATTTGTTATAATCACTGTATTTGTTGATGATCTAAATATCATTGGAACTCACGCGGAACTTCCAAAAGCAATAGACAGAAGAAAGAGTTTGAAATGAAAGATCTTGGAAATACAAAAATTTGTCTTGGTCTACAAATTGAGCATGTGAAAGATGGATTTTTTGTCCATCAATCAACTCAAAAGATCGTAAAGCGTTTTTATATGGATAAAGCACATCTATTTAGTACCCCGATAGTTGTGAGATCACTCGATATAAATAAAGATCCATTCCGACCTCATAAAATGATGGAGAGCTTCTTGGTTATGAAACTCCATATCTTAGTGCAATTGGAGCACTAATGTATCTTGCAAATAATACTCGACCAGATATAACTTTTGCAGTAAGTTTATTAGTAAGATTTAGTTCCTTTCCAACAACAAGACACTGGAATGGTGTTAATCATATTTTTAGATACCTCCAAGAGACTATTGATATGGGATTCTTATGAATCCGATTCACAAATGATTGATTACGCAGATGTAAGTTATTTGTCCGACCCACATAAACCCGATCTCAAACATGCTATCTATTTACTTGTGGAGGTATAATTATTTCATGGTATTCAACAAAACAAACTTTAGCTGCTACATATTCCAATCATGTAGAGGTAATAGCTATTCATGAAGCTAGTCAAGAATGTGTATGGTTGAGATCGGTGACTCAACACATTCAACAAATGTGTGGTCTTTCTTTAATGACAAAGGTTCCAATAATATTGTATGAAGATAAGATAATGCTGCTTGCATAGCTCAACAAAAAGGAGGATATATCAAAGGAGACAGAACAAAAGACATTTCACCAAAGTTCTTTTTCACGCATGATCTTAAACAAAATGGTGAGATAGATGTTCAAAAATTCCGTTCAATTGATAATCTGGCAGATTTATTCACTAAGGTGTTTCCAACATCAACATTTGAGAAGCTAAGACATAAAATTGGAATGCATCGTGTAACGACCAGATCAGTCATTTTGAGCTCTAGCACGTCGTTCGGCGGTTTGAGGTCTTGAGTAGATTCACTTAGGGTATTATGACTTGTACGTGTGGTCGGAATTAAATTTCAGGAAGGTCGAAGTTGATTTGGAAAGAAAATTCTAATTTCGGAAGCTTTAAGTTAGAAGAATTCACTGAGATTTGACTTTTGAGTAAACAACTTTGGAATCAAAATTTGAAGGTTCCAACATGTTCATATGATGATTTTGGTCTTAGGAGCGTGCCCGAATGTCAATTTAGAGGTCCGTATGTCATTTTGGCGTTAATTGGCGAAAGTTGGAAATTAGATGATTTTGGGAAGTTTGACCGGGAGTGGACCTTTTGATATCAGGGTCAGATTCCGATTCCGGAAGTGGGAGTAGGTCCGTAATATCAATTATTACTTGTGTGCAAAATTTAAGGTCAATCGAACTTGATTTGATAGGTTTCGGCGTTGAATGTAGAAGTTTGAAATTCTAAAGTTTATTAAGCTTGGATTGAGGTGCGATTCGTGGTTTTAGCGTTGTTTGATGTGATTTGAAAGCTCGACTAAGTTCGTATTGTATTTTGGACATGTTGGTGTATTTGATTAAGGTCCCGAGAGCCCCGGGTGAATTCCGGATGGTTAACAGATTGATTTTTGGACTTAAGAAATGCTGAAGCTGGGCAGCAACTGGTGTGATCGCTTTCTGCGATGTCTTGGTCACAGAAGCGAGGTCGAGCTCACAGAAGCAAAATGGGTAGGTTCAAGGCAGTGGTCGCAGGTGCGAATAAATTTCTGCACATACGGAATCGTAGAAGCGAGAAATGAAGATGCAAAAGCGGCTGGTCCGCAGATGCACGATTGGCCATCGCATAAGCACCTGCGCAGAAGCAAAATTGCTTCTGCATATGCGAGGTCTCAGCTGTGTATTGTACTCTGCAGATGCGCATTTGGCTCGCAAAATCGAGGCCGCATATGCGCAAATATGTCCGCAGAAGCGGAAACTGGTATAACATAAGGGGATCAGACTTGGTCTTTTAGTCATTTTTATTTGGGATTTTTGGAGCTCGATTCTTGGGCGATTTTGAGAAATTTCCATCATGTAACACAAGGTAAGTAATTTTCCACTTGTTGTGAGCTAAATGTAAGGTTTATATGTGGATTTAAGGAGTAAAATTTAGGGAAAATGTGGGATTTTGGTAGAAGACCTATAATTGATAATTTTAGATTTTGACCACAATTTGGAAATGGAATTAAGAATAAATTATATATTTGAGTTAGTAGTGTTATGGGTAAGGTTTATCTTCGAAAGTTTTCGGCATCCGGGCACGTGGGCCTGATGGTTAACTTTATCGACTTTTCGACTAGAGTTGAAAATTTGTTTAAATTGATTAATTATGGGTATTAGAGTATATTTTGACGGGTTTGCACCTTATTTGACTAGTTTTGGATCGACGGGCATCGGTTTGAGGTGTTAGAGAGGCTTTGGAGCCGGTTATAAAACTTCGGAGCGAAGTAAGTCTCATGTCTAACCTTGTGAGGGGGAACTACCCCTGGGTGATATTTATTATTATGTGCAACTAGTTGTGGGTGCTACGTATGCACGAGGTGACGAGAGTCCGTACGTAGCTAAAGCATCTTTATGTCCGGATAGACTTAGGATCCTATCATGTAATATTTGAATTACTTGAACTCACTCTGCGGGTTTAATTAATTGAAGTTATAACTGAAATCGATATAGAAATAAATATATGCACACTAGGCCAAGCCTTAACACTTTGAGTTTTGGGCGAGTTATTTGAGAAATGGTAAAGATTATATCCATTTTATACTCATGTGCTGTATTGTAAACACGTATCTCGTAATTCGGTAACTTCCTTCCTTTTCTTGTGGAGCGGGCCAAATACCTCAGCAGTATATAGATGCATCTATGGTTCGTGCCGCTAGACCCTCAGCAGTGTACACATTATTCTGGATCGGGCCGAACAATCTTGGCAGAATCGTGCGTTATATCGCTAGTAGATCGAATATTCACGAGCTAAACTTTTCACTTATGCCCAACATTTTATATGGTATTCCTTACTTATTTGATAATGACACTTGACATTTTTTCGAGTTGTTAAGGTAGAATATAAGATTTAGAAATTTATGCTTCGAAAAAAGAAATTGGAAGATTATGTAACTTACAGATTTACCCCATCATTGTCGTATGCCTCATATCTACTTATGTTTTATTATATTGCTTTATTGGACCTTTAGTAAGTGTCGATGTCGACCCCTCGTCACTACTTCCCCAGGGTTAGGCTAGATACTTACTGGGTATGCGTTGATTTACGTACCCATGATGTACTTTTGTACTAAATGTGCAGGATCTGACATGTTCATTGATGATCACCTTGGCGCGTAGGCGCACGTGTTGAGGAGATTTCACGTGAGCTGCATTCCAAGCTACGCATCGCAGTCCATCGAGTCTCCATTGTACTAATTATTTTATTCTGTCTTATTACATCCGGGATAAATGTTGTATTATTATTGTACTCCTTAGAAAATGCTCGTGCACTTGTGACACCGGGTTTTGGGGGTCTCTGCGGGTTGTTCATTAATGTAGTTGTGTAAATTCTATTTCATACTATTTAATTAATAAAAATAATGATTTGGGTAATTAAGTTGATCAATCACCGTTGGCTGGCCTGACGACGATATTAGGCGCAATCACGACCTTTAGTGGATTTTGGGTCGTGACACATTGTCTTCGAGATATCAAATAAAGTTTTCATCAAGGGGAGTATAATACGCACTGTACTATTTTTCCCTTAACCAAAGTTTTGTCCCAATTGAGTTTTCCTGGTAAGGTTTTTAATGAGACAGCACTCAATGCGTATTACAAGATGTGTGTACTCTTTTTCCTTCACTAGGCGTTTTCCACTGGGTTGTTCCTAGTAAGGTTTTAACGAGTCACGTTATCTTTCAAATGAACATCCAACGGAGAGTGTTATAAATAAAGTGAATGTATATGGATGCTCATTTGATCCATCCATACATTCTATATAATATACTACTTGGATAGATGTACCTATTAATTCCTATGATGTATCTAGTGAGTTTTGAATGGATCGTGTATACTATAAATATGATATTCTTTGCCCATAGAAGAATACACAAAAAACACACTTAAATAAAATAATTTCTACATTCTCCTCCTGTATATATTTTGTCTCCATTATTCTATTTTGCTCATTTCTTAATAGTTTTGTTCGAATCCAACCTTGGCTTAAAAAAAAAAAGGGCGCCATTCAGTGCGCAGGGGTTAGGGTTTATGAGTCAGATAGCTAGTCAGTCACTCCCACTTCAAAACAAAGAAACAGCAAAAAAAGAGCGGGAGAGAGCGGGAGAGAATACACTCCCCCTCATTCCCAACGCCTTTCGGCTCCGAAGATGTCAATTGGTGCTCGTGAACTTACTGTTCTCGGTGAGTTCAAGCCCTTTGGCTTGATTGCCGAAGCTCTTGACGGGAAACCCTCCGATAATTGTGTGGAGGATTATCGTTACTTCCTGTTCAGTCCAGAAGTGACCAAACAAAGAGATGAAGCTGATGATGTCGATTTGCCGTCGCCCTCAAGTGACCGGAGCGATCATGAGCTCTTCATTAGAGGGAATAGGTATTTTGATTAAGAAATTATCCCTTAAGGACTTCTAATGTTTTGCTCTTTCAATTCATAGTTGCAAATTTGTTAGCCTTCTTTCTTTAGTTGCTGTTTAAGTTTACTAAATTGCAACTAAGAAATAAAGTTCCAAATTTTTTGTTTTGTGAAAATCAAGATGTAACTTGGCTTTATTTGTTATTTGTCACATGATTACAGGATAATATGGAGCATAGGCTCGCGAGTCTATAAGAGGTTCACATCACCCTCCACAGTAATAAAGGTAACTCTGCAATCATAAAAACTTGCGCAAATAGGGTAAAACAGTTCTTTTTGTGTATATCTAAGCTTTTCAATCCCCTTAACGTAAGTGCAGCTTCTAATATAGTGGTAAATGGGATTTTAAATTACTTTAGGTTGCAGATTCAAATCTCCTGAGTGATATTCTTGTACTTTTTTGAATCCCTTGCCAGAATGCCGGGCTCCGCTACTGACTCTACCACTAAGCATACACATGTACCTAGCTAAGAATATGATTTACAAATGATTGACTCAGCATTCATATAAAGGTTTTGCTTATTGTATTGCCTTGTTGAGTTTATGTAAGTTTTTTGTATGCTTTCGTTGCTTGATGTCTTTTTTTCCTTCTATGAAATCATGGAAATGCGATGTACTGTTAAATTTTAGAACTGAAATAGGTATACCTAGTCTCATTTATCATTCTTGTCTCTTTCATGATCGATCCATTTTCCATGATTTGTAGCTTGCAGAGTTGTCAAAGGCAAAAAGTTTAGAAAAGCGCCAGGGTCTGTTGGGCTTCAAGCGCAAATTACAAAAAAGCACGGGCAATCAAGAAATGTGCTAATGATGAAAAATTAAAAATATGTATCTACTGCAAGGAAAAAGTTACTATAAACACAAACATTTCTTAGTAGAACAAAAGAATCGGAAAAAAGCTGATAATCAGCTGAAATATACAACAACAACAACAAACCTAGTGTAACCCAGTGAATTATATGAAGTAAAAATCACATCGATCATGTAAAAGAACCATCTTATTGTTTAGTTGCCACCCTCTTAAAGACGAGTTTAGGGTGACGAGGCACATGACTTTGTGATAAAGAGCACCTAAGCAAAGCGAAACGTCCAACTTGGGTTTCACCTAGCTTCAAAAGTTAATAGTGTCTCAGGCGAGCCTAAATAACATTGGTCGCTTGGTGAATCTGCAAAACCAGCTCAAGTCGTGGCTGGCTTGATTGAAATAAAATTCGAGCCATGTGAATGAAATTGTTCTATTTCATCTGCAACTATTTATATTCTTACTTTAGATGCATTTTTACTGCTCAATAAATATGCAAATAACTGACTTGCTTAGACTATTGAGATGAACCTGTGTGGTTTGGTTTGTAACAACATTTGCAGGTCACTTATATGGCCAATATGTGGTTTCACATAAATTTACATGTCTTGTGGAATTGTCTAATTTTATTCTTGGTCTGTTAGTCCTCCCCACATCCACTTGGTGTCGTGCTTAGCTTATGGCATATCTCACATAAATGGAACTTGATTTATGATTTTCATGATCATTACTATTTTTAATCATTTGCTGTTCACTTTCATATTCTCTAGGTGGATGTTTAATCAACTTTTAATGATGTTTTAGGCATGCTGGTGCCGTATGGGCTATACTTCAGAAGCTGTTCTGTGCATACTACAGAGTGATAGTTTGACAATTTATGACACATCAGGTGATTTAACCAGTTTTCCTGCTGCATATTCTATTTTACATTGAGCTTTATTCCACATGTCTCACTGTATATAAAGAATTTCTTTCAATAATCAAGTTGATTTACTTGTCCCCAATAAAATAAAAATGAAGTTGATTTACTTGTCCCGCGGAAAACATTAGATCAACTTTACTTATTTTAGTTCCTATTGTTTATTTTTTTTATTTTTTCTTTCTAGTTAAGGAAAATCCATAGAACTTAGGATTTGAAAAAATCAATAATTTGACATTTATTGAACAACTAGAGTCGATAAGAGAATTTACTGATGTGTTTTAGTGAAGGAATTGGTTGACATTTGGAGTTCTCATCATGTTCAAATACCACGTACGCTTTTAAATGTGTACCAGTGCGAGATTTTGTGATTGGAGTTGATAAGTCTGCCTTTTCTTTTATGGGTAATAATTGTAGAGTAGTGAAGCAAACTAGTGTCGGATCCCTTGCAACCGTCTCTTTGGGATGTGTTAAAATGATTAAACATAAAGTTGTTCAGAACTGTAAGTGGAACTGGAGTTTAGTGCAGCAGAGGGGCAGATTTGGTTTTTAGTTGATATTTGAACTATTGTTGGCAAAGAAATTAGTTTTCTTCTCTAAATTGTGTCGATAAGTTTTTCTGGTTTGATTTTAATTTTGTGGTAAATTGGTAATGGGAGGCTCTGGGGCTCCGAATTAGGCTCTTTTCACAGTTAAAGAGTTGCTGAGTAAAGAGGAGACCAAGTGTATTTATTTTCATCCTTTAAAATTTTTCAATTACCTGACCCATGGCAACCTTTTTAGTATTTGAATTTTCCTCTTTTTGTCCAAGTGAGTTCTTGCTGTTTTGCCATTACAATTGGTTGTTTAGAGAAGATGTTAAAATTGCTGAGCGGTTTGCCTTGTAGGTGAAGTAACATCCGTTCCTCTTTCTCGTAGCATCACCTCCATATGGCCTCTTCCATATGGTTTACTGCTCCAACAGGCACCTGAAGGGAGCTCGCCAGCGCATATCCCATTTTTGTCTTTGAGCCCATTATTAAGTGTTCGTGATACATTTCGTTCAAAAAGGGACGTTAACCTTCAGAATTGTACTGCTGTACATGGTCTAGATTTTACTGTCAGGGGAGATGGGTCTTCAATGTCCTCACATCTGATATTAAAGGATCCATTGGAAGAACCTCAGGTATACATGATGCTTTCTCTGCCTCCCCTCTGTCTCTATTATTTTGTTTTACTGTCTATTCCTTTTCTCTTTCTGATCTTGGGCTTTGGTAATATTATATTGTTATCTAGAGAAATAAACTTAGATAGTCCCGTAAGTATCCCTATAGGAGTATTTTTATCCCTTATCTATACTGCTGAATATAAAACTTCCCTTATCGTTATAAAAGTGGTCAGCTTTAGTCTAACCCTTAACGCGGTTTGTAAAACTAACTGTAAGTTCCCAAAAGTTACGGCAACTATTAAACTAAACATGAAGAAGAAAAATTGCATTTCAGGTTGCTCCTTCTAAGACTATTTAAAGTTCTCCACACTATTTATACTACAATCTGCTTGCTCCTTCTAAGACTACCCGCACTAAAAATTGCATATCAGGTGTAGAACTTGTCTCTTCTCCTTCTTTCTTTGACACCTTAAAAGAAAAGCTTTAAACTGATAGGCTTACCCCAATGAGGACACGCTCAATACCTTCTTGTAGGATTGTTGTTCATCCAGCTGGTTCAAAATCGGCGACGGTCAAACCGGGGAAAGTTGATTATCTAAACTTGCCTTACCCTGTTCTTTATGAGAAAATTCATCGCTAAGCTCTCATTTAGTGTCACTGTATAACTTATGTCACTAATGCTTCCATTATCACTACAATATTGCCGTAAACATAAACTACATAAGTAAATAACATTTCCTTCTATTTAATCTGGCACTTACCGAGACTTTAGAAATAGAACCTTAAGCTAGTTTTTTGAAAATCATTATCAAGTTAAATGGTTGATTTCAAGGGATTTAGGGAGAAAGGGAGTCGACAGGTGCGAAGCAAACGAGAAAAGGGGCCTGATGGGATTAATTTGGGAGATGGTGGAGAGTCACGTGACATCCATGTGACTCACTAACAGAATATTTAACTGGGCTTTGATAGTTGGACAATTCTGTTATTTTTGACTCAGTTTGAGTGTTTGACTGTTGGTTTTACAGACCCTGTTAAGGTTAGATGAAAGTTATCTACTTTTATAGAGATAAGAGTTTTATTATATTCAGTGGTATAGATAAGGGATAAAAATACTCCTATAGGAATATTTAAGGACTGTTTAAGTTTATTACTCCTGTAATCCACTTGTATTTTCCATTTGTCAGCTGAAGGGATAGAATTTTCCTCCCTAGAGTTTTTGATTCGAATTTGATTGTACTTTTGGATTCTGATTATCACAGCCTACCTATATTGAGGAGAGGGGGAAATTAAACTTTATTAAAGAATTTGATGAAAGGACCATCTGGACTGGAGACTGTGTCCCCCTGATGGCGTCATACAACCAAGGTTTCTCCTTTTATTTTTAGTTAACTATTAGATTGTCCTTTCTTTGTTGGTTGACTTATAATAGAGTGCATTCATTGTCTCTGGTTTACTTTGCAGCTAAGCTTCAGCATTCTTTATGGGTTGTTGAAAAAATCAATTCTAACATTGAAATGGGAAATTCTAGATTTCCTGATGTTCCTGTTGGGGTGCTAACAAAGCATTTTTCATTCCGGAGGATATGGCAAGTAAAGGGTTCCCAAACAGCTGCTAGTAAGGTTTGATTATAGATGATTCTTTTGTTGCTTTAATGAAAAGAATGTCATGCTACTCCCTCTACCCTCGTAATTGGGAAAGGAATAGAAATTCTTTTGTTGCTTGACGGGGCATTGCTCTCAGTGAACTACATTATTAGGAATCTAACGTCCTAGTTTAAAATCATATCTCCATGAACGATTTCATATATTTGTGTCCTTATATGTGCTTGCTGTTTAGAACCTCAAGTAATTTTCTCAGGTGTTTCTAGCAACTGATGATGATACATCACCCATTATTTGCTTTCTACTCCAAGAGCAAAAAAGGTTGTTGTCTCTGCGGCTTCAGACTGTCGAAATAAATACTGAAACTATCTATGATATTAAGCCTGACATGAGTTGGAGCATACCAGCAGTTGCTGCAGCACCAGTTGTTGTTACTCGACCCGGGTAGGTTTTACTATATATTTTGGTTTTCTCCAGCTATATTACAACTTTTTGGTCTTGACTGCCAATTTTTGATCTTCAGAGTTAAAGTGGGTGGACTTCCATTTGTGGATATTGTTGTGTTGACGTCAGAAAACACTCTTCTTCTGTATGTAAGTGCAATGCTAATTCTCTTACATAACTTCCCCTCTTAGTAGAAAACAATTTCTATGCCATGAATTGCATTTTTCTATGCCATGAATTGCATTCCTCTCATCTTCTTTTTAAAGCGGAGGACTTCCATTTGATGTATTCTAGAATATTTGCATCTGGAATATGTCGACTCTCTATGTGTTTACTTCGCTTCTGGCTGAAGATATTGGTGACTCTGTGAGAAAGCACGGGAGAAAATATGTTATTGATATTGGATGGATGAATAGAAAATATGTTATTGATATTGGATGGATGAATACAATACAAGAGGTCCTTATTTATAGCTAGCTGTACACTACAAGGACATATTACTCCCATTCCAATGTGGGACAAGACTATATTATGTACATAGCTCTAAACTAACACTCCCCCTCAAGCCGGTGCATACAAATCATATATACCGAGCTTGTTACATATATAACCAATACGAGGACCAGTGAGGGACTTAGTGAAAATATCTGCAAGTTGATCATTCGATCTCACAACTTTGTAGCAATCTCTCCTGAAAGTATCTTTTCTCTGACGAAGTGACAATCAATCTCAATGTGTTTAGTTCTCTCATGGAACACCGGATTTGATGCGATATGAAGGGCAGCTTGATTATCGCACACAGGTTCCATCCAACTGATTTCACCAAATTTCAACTCCTTGAGCAATTGTTTGGTCCAGACTAGCTCACATGTTGCCATAGCAATTGCTCGATATTCTGCTTCTGTACTAGACCGATCAATTACATTCTGTTTCTTGCTCTTCCAAGACACCAAATTGCCTCCTACTAAAACACAATATCCAGACGTAGAACGTCTATCAGAAGGTGATCCTGCCCAATCAACATCTGAGTATCCAACGATCTGCTCACGACCTCGATCCTCAAACAATAACCCTTTGCTTGGAGCCGATTTTATATACCGAATAATGCAGACAACTGCATCCCAATGACTATCACAGAGAGAATTCATAAATTGACTCACAACACTCACAAGATAAGAAATGTCGGGTCTAGTCACTGTGAGATAATTTAATTTACTAACCAGCTGCCTATAGCTTGCAGGATCACTAAGCGGCTCCCTCTGTCCTGGCAGAAGTTTAGAATTCAGATCCATCGGAGTGTCAATAGGTCTGCAACCTATCATCCTGTCTCCTCAAGAATGTCTAAAGCATATTTTCTTTGAGAAATAAGAATACCTGAGCTAGACTGAGCAACCTCAATACCTAGAAAGTACTTCAATCTGCCTAGATCCTTAGTTTGGAAGTGCTGGAAGAGATGCTGCTTTAGATTGGTAATACCATCCTGATCATTGCCAGTAATAACAATATCATCAACATAGACTACCATATAAATACAGAGACTTGAAGTAGCGTGCCGATAAAACACAGAGTGATCAGCTTCACTATGAGTCATGCCAAACTCCTGGATAACCGTGCTGAACTTACCAAACCAGGCTCGAGGAGACTGCTTTAGACCATAAAGTGACCGACGCAAGCGACATACAAAGCCATGAGACTCCCCTTGAGCAACAAAATCAGTTGGTTGCTCCATATAAACTTCATCCTCAAGATCACCGTGAAGAAAGGCATTCTTAATGTCCAACTGATAGAGAGGCCAATGACGAACCGCAACCATGGATAGAAAAAGGCGGGCTGATGTAACTTTAGCCATGAGAGAGAAGGTATCACTGTAATCGAGCCCAAATATCTGAGTATATCCTTTGGCAACAAGACAGGCCTTAAGTCGATCAATCTGGCCATCGGGACCAACTTTGACTGCATAAACCCAACGACTCCCAACAGTAGATTTACCTGAAGGAAAAGGAACAAGCTCCCAAGTACCACTTGTATGTAAAGCAGACATCTCGTCACTCATAGCCTCTCGCCATCTTGGATGAGACAACGCTTCACCTTTAGACTTAAGGATGGAAATCGAGGACAAAGAAGATATAAAAGCATAATGGGGAGATGACATACGATGACAACTCAAACCGACATAATGAGGATTAGGGTTAAGTGTGGTCCGTATACCTTTCCGAAGTGCAATCGGTGTACTATGAGCAGGGTCCGCAGTAGGAGCAGGGTTAGGTGCAGGACGAGAACCAGTTGGGCCTGATGTAGGGCGCAGACGACGATGATAAGTCAAGAGTGGTGTTTCTGTGGCTTGGAAACTAGGAGGAACAACACTAGACTCCTCAACGGTTGGTATGGGTGAAACCTCTATGGTCGAAGGTGGAGGAGGAGCTATAGTAAACTCCTCAAAGATCGGTATAGGTAAGACCTCAGATATATCATGGTGGTCAGCAGAAGTAAAGAAAGGTTTAGACTCAAAAAATGTGACGTCAGCTGACATAAGGTACCTACGAAGATCTGGAGAATAACAACGATATCCCTTCTGAACACGAGAATAACCAAGGAAGACACACTTGAGAGCACGAGGAGCTAACTTATCTTTCCCAGGGGCTAAGTTATGAACAAAACACGTGCTCCCAAAAACACGAGGTGGAAGAGAGTATAAGGTTGACCGGGGAAACAATATTGAATGCGGAATCTGATCCTTGATGGGAGATGAAGGCATCCGATTAATCAAATAACAAACTGTGAGAACTGCATCGCCCCAAAACCGCAAGGGAGCACGAGATTCAATTAGAAGTGTGCGGGCAGTCTCAATAAGGTGCCTATTCTTTCTCTCTGCAACCCCATTTTGCTGAGGGGTATAAGGACAAGATGTCTGATGAATAATTCCTTGAGAAGTCATAAACTGCTAAAACTGAGAAGATAAATATTCTAAGGCATTATCACTACGAAAAATGCGAACAGAAACACCAAATTGGTTTTTGATTTCAGCACAAAAACTCTGGAATATAAAGAATAACTCAGAATGATCTTTCATTAAGAAAAGCCAAGTACATCTTGAGTAATCATCAATAAAACTAACAAAATAACGAAATTCCAAGGAAATGCGAACAGAAACACCAAATTGGTTTTTGATTTCAGCACAAAAACTCGGGAATATAAAGAATAACTCAGAATGATCTTTCATTAAGAAAAGCCAAGTACATCTTGAGTAATCATCAATAAAACTAACAAAATAACGAAATTCCAAGGTTGAACTGACTCTACTATGACCCCATATATCAGAATGAACTAAGGAGAAAATAGACTTTGCATGACTCTCAACAATACGTGGAAAGGAGGCTCAGGCATGTTTCCCAAACTGACACGACTCACAATCTAATGTAGACAAACTAGATAAACTAGGCACCATATTCTGAAGTTTGGATAAACTCGGATGTCCTAAACGTCTGTGGATTAGGTCTGGAGGATCTGTAACTAGACATGTTGTGGAAGGACTGAGCAAGTTAAGGTAGAAAGGCCTTCTGATTCACGTCAATGGAGGGCACGAGTCAAACGACTAACAGATGCAAGACTAAAAAGACAATCAGGGACATAAAGAACTGAATCTAGGGTGATAGAAGACAAATGGTTAGCTTGTCCAACTCCTTTTGCCTTAGTTTGATATCCATTGGCTAAAGTAACAATGAGAATAGACTGTGAATATATAATATTCGACCAAAGTGATTTATTACCAGAGATGTGATTAGAAGCGCCTGAGTCCATGACCCATGGTCCAAGAGTACTAGATTGGGAAACACAAGCAAAAAAATTACCAGCAACAGAAGTATCAGTCTGGGCAACCGAGGCTACTTGTGGAGATGTGTGTTTACTTGCTCGATACTGAAGGAGCTCATTATATTCTTCTTTAGATAAAGAAAATCCCTGGTTACCTGTAGTCTCGGTCTGAGCAATGTAAGCATTTTTGGGTAGACGACCATGTAAGGAATAACACATTTCACGATTGTGTCCAAGTTTGTGACAATAAGAACACTTGGGTCTAGATCTTCCAAAACGACCTCCTCCTCGTCTATTCTCCATAGTTTGAGACGCCCGAACATCCACTGTCTGTGATGCGAGAATAGAGGAATCAAGTATTTGTGATGAGATCACCGGGTGACTTGGTGCTGCAGCAAGGCAGAGTAATCGAGAGAATAATTCATCAACTGTGGGGACAGTCGGACAAGCCAAAATCTGGTCGCGTACTGAATCAAGATCATTAGGAAGTCCAACGAGGGTAAGAACTAGAAACATCTTCTGTCGCTGCTCTTGTTTTTCCACACTAGCAGAAACTTGCATCTTCTCAAATTCCTCCATGACTGCCTGTACTTGACCCAAGTAAGTAGACATATCTAGTTCCTACTTCTTTAAGTTTGTCATCCGCGATATCACATCATAGAAGCGAGGTATGTTATTAATGTATGAGGTACGGGCCTTTGCCCAAACCAAATAACATGTCTGGAATGGACGAAACAAGCACATCAACTTGGAATCAATAGATCGCCACATGATGCTACATAACTGAACATCGATCTTTGCCCAACGTGCTATCGCCTTTTCATCTCATTCGCTAGACTGTTTGATTAGATGATCTTGAACACCTTGACCTTTACACCACAACTCGACAGATGAAGCCCCAGCTAAGTAGTTTGAACATCAAATCCCAAAGACATCAAATCTTAAAGACATCGTTGCAAATTATTACTTCCTTTGTTCCAGTTTATGTGAACCTATTTCCTTTTTGATCCGTTCCAAAAAGAATGATCCCTTTCTAAATTTAGAAATAATTTAGCTTAAACTTCTAATTCTACCCTCAGTGAGAAGCTTTTATAACCACACAAATACTCTGGACCCCTTTTTGACTTGTTTAGGACCACAAATTCTAGAAGTCTTTATTTTTTCTTAAACTCCGTGCCCAATCAAACAGGTTCTTAAACTCCGTGCCCAATCAAACAGGTTCACATAAATTGGAACGGAGGGAATACCAAATAAGAGAAAGAATCAACTGTAATCCACTGAAACAGAGTAAGAAAACGCTGAAACAGAATAATGAATTACTGTAGCTGCCGGAATCTACTGTAGCTGACGGAAAAAAGCCAAAGTGGTCGGAATGAAACAAAAACAGTAGGGGTAGGATCGGAATTACGAGACAGTAGGCGCCGGCGCGTACGCCCACTTCCGGCCACTTACGAGACTTTTTCAAAAAATGGCCGGAAGTGGGCGTATGCGTCGGCGCGTGAGCTTCTGGTGGCGCGTGAGGAGGCTTCTGTCGGAGATTTTTATTGGGGTTTGGTTGCCGGACAATGACTACTCTTGTGGTAGTGTTGGATTTGCACAACACTGACGGAGATAAAGCAGACGCAAACATCCTTGAAAAAGTCGTCGGAAAAAGACTTTCGGTGACTGATTTCTTTTCCCGGAGTCGCTGTAATTTATGCACAGCGATAAATCTCTCACAATTGCTCTGATACCATGTGAGAAAGTATGGGAGAAAATATGTTATTGATATTGGATAGATGAATACAATACAATAGGTCCTTATTTATAGCTATACACTACAAGGACATATTACTCCCATTCCAATGTGGGACAAGACTATATCATGTACATAGCTCTAAACTAACATACTCTATTTTGCAAAAGTTATTTCTTTGTGTGCTAAATGCTAATGTGCCGTTGTCTTTTCCACAAAAGTTCTTTGTCTTAAAGGTACAACTTTTGTGATATTTGGTATGTTTGCAGCAAATACTGTTTTTCTCTCTTAATTCTTTTATTTTCCTTTTAAATTTTTGCATGATTGTCATTATGATTTGTGTAGCTTTTTGATTTCTTTCTTTAAGAAATTTATCTAACTTAATAATGTTCATCACTTGGAATGAAGAATTAAGATTAGATGGTACAAAGGTTTCCTAGAGAAAGCTAGAAGTAAGTGTGGATAATTTGCATTGTCAAATATATTACAAGAGGTTATCCATACAAATACAAAACTTGATTTTGGATGAAAAGATATTTTCTGTTTTGTTCATTGAGCAAGGGATTAGTATAAAGGAGTGGTTATAAGCGTGAGAACAATGAAAAAATAGAGGAAGTTTTCTGTAACCGCGGGCTTACACTAAGGATCTGCCTTCAACACTTTTTCTTTTCTCCAGAATTATAGATGAGCTAACCAATAATAGACGTATGCTATTTGCAAATGTTATTGTGTTAATTGGCGAAACTCATAAAGAGTCAACCAAAAGTTAGAAATTAGAATTATGGGAAAATACTCATGTAAGAGTTTTAGAATAAGTAGAAGTAAGTAAGAAAGTACATATGCGCGACAAATTTAGTCAGTATAAGAATAATGAAGATGAAGCTGTATTAGTCGGGATCGTAGTAGCTAAACGTAGACAATTCATATATCTAGGCTCAGAGTTTTTGATGAATGACACGATAGATTAGACGAACTCGTGAAGTCTATATATTGACTTTCAGATATTCAAAAGGCTATCTTTTAGGAAAACGACGTGATAGATGAAAGAAATCACATAATAAAAATAAGATGGCTGGATTCCAAGTCCAAGTCTTGAGTGATAATACTGGAGAATCCTTCTTGGCAAGGGAAACAACCTTCGCCAAGGTTCCGAAGGAAAGATAGATCTGAACTAACACAATAACTATAATCATCCATAGTGCAAGAAGAATGGTATGCGATTTGAAGAAGCTTAACACTGTAGGGACCCTTTTCTTTTTGTAGGGTGGTTGGAGGGGGGGGGGGTTCTGACTTTGTCTTGGTTAAGTACTAGTTTAGTGCTGGACTATTTATTATCAATGAAATTCTTATTTACATTTAAAAACAAAATTGATGGGCCGAGTTATCCTGTACATATACCATCGGAGGATGCAAGTACCCAGTGGATTAGTTGAGGTACAGACATGGTGGTTCGAACACCACTGTTATAAAATGGGATGATATCGATTTAAAATTATATGGAGGTAAGTTTCAAAAACATATAATCTCTCAAAATTGATGCAGCTGCAGCTAGAAACAGAACACAATTGAAGCAAAAGATCCGTATTGACGATCCCAACGGGCTGATATTAAGGCTTCGTTATTGTTACACTTACATTAGGTCCGTTCTTTGTCAAAAGTCGTGTTATAACTCTTATATCTGTGTATCAATATGTATGAGATTCTAAGTTGCTCGGACACGGGTGTGGGTATCCGACACATGTGCGGATCTAGAAGTTGGATCTTTCGAGATGTAAATACTAAAATTCGGGGATACAACTCCTAGTACAGATACGTGTTGGGGGGACCCGACTAAGATAATTAAAAAAATAAAAAAATAAAAAATCTCTAAATTATAAGAAATTTTGTAGAATACTTACATATAGCTTGTAAAGTGTGGATTTCTTTTTTATTCTCAAGTTGTAGATAAGTAGAGGATTGATTTCCTAGATAAGGTATGCTATTTTCTATAAATTTACCCTAATGTTGGTTCTGATTTCGGGAATCAAAGTATCTCTCCTCGAAGTTTTCCATTTGTCGTGGTCAAAGTACCAAAAATTGTTTGACCACATCCTGTACGGATCCCATACCCACACTCATACTAGTGTCGTGTCGACACGGGTGCGATATCTAAACTGCCGTGTCAGAGCAACTTAGATGAGATTTAGAGAATTTCTAGATTTAGAGAACCCCTAATTTGTGTTAACATGCAAATATTTGGTATTGGAATGAAATAGACCTGAATAAAGTGACATGGATATAGATGATTATTCATATAGCTGGTGCCAAGCTAAATTACTGAGGCTTAGATAATTGATTGATTGATATTTGAGTCCTTTATTGGAACTCATCCATTAGATTTTTCTTTTGAAGAGCTTAGAGTAAATGCATTCTCTTTTGAAGTTTGCTTGGGTAAGGTCAGGTCATTGTGGAGCAGGTTTAAAGTGGGAGGAGAGCAAGTCTTCTTTTTTATTCTCCTCCTTTCTTTTTTCCCGTTTCTGTCCCCTTTCTATTCCTGCCAAAATTTACAATCTGGGACATGTAAACCTGGTAGTTGTTTAGTTATCTTGATATTTTCAAGCTTGACATAGATGGTGTCATGGTTTATTTTCCAGTGAAACACATTTTGGCTTCTTGAGGAAATTTCACTTTTGCCTTGGCACATTGTTTAGATGGGTGTAGGACATGAGAATGATATTGCAAGATTTTCAATATCGTACAGATCCTATGTGAACATGTCCTTTTGAGGTTCTGATGTACTTTTATGTCTAAAGAACTCAGGGGTCGTTTGGTTGGTGGGATAAGGGATAACAAACCCAGGTATTTTATCCCGCGTTTGGTTATGGGTATTTTTTGTACTAAAATGGTGGGATTATATGGGTTAGCTAATCCCATGGGATATCCTTATCTATCCCATCCTGGTAACCAAATGACCCCCCAGTGTAGGAAAAAAACCTATGATCGTCCACATTGTGATAAAAAGTATTTAGAAATTTTTAATTCACTTTTGTATACCACTTAATTCATCACGAAATTATTTGTGGAAGGATGTCATCACCTTCGAACGTCACTTTCGCTTAGTATCTGATGTTTTGATTTCTTCATGAAATATGATGTTTTATCTTTTAAAATTGCAGTCCGGGAAGCAATGTCTTTGTAGATTCAAGTTGTCTTCCCTTGGCAAAGATCAGATTTTGCATGATCCTAAAATTGTTGGGTTAGCCGATGCTGTTGAGGAGCGTATCAATGTAATTGTGAACAGTGGACGGGTATGGTTGCTGACTGTATTTAGCTTTTGTTACTTGAGGCTGAAGTAGTTTGTAAGTTCCTCATTGTCACTTTTGCATCCCATATTGTGACTGTTACTAATGATGGGACTGACATCAGATAACGAGATTGTGAGTCTATATCTGTTTTTACCTTCATTGAGCTTTAGATGGCTAGGATGAGTCGCACTAAGTTTCTATACCACATAAAATTTTAATGAAATTGTTTGTGCAATAGGTAAGTACTGAGGACCTTCATTCTATAGAAACAGAGGAGTTAAATGGTATATTTTCCTCTCTGATGCCTAAAATCATTGTTCAAGTAGCTTTTGAAATGTGTAATTTGAAGAAGATGGTCTTTCGTCGCTTCTGCAATCATCTAGGTGACAATTGATACATGTATTTTTATTTGCTACAAACTGTCATGTTGAAGTAGCACTATTAGGGATTACACTGTTTGAATGGAGTAGGAGAAAATTAAGAGATGCAGTTCTCAAGTTATCCTACCTTTATTTCTTTTGTTTCTTTTCTGCAATCATAGGCTTTAAAATGCTAGAAAAAATGCTATGCCTGGGCTTAAGTCTAGATTCCTAGAAGGAGATCATGCTTTCTGCTTATGTAGCTATTTGAAGCTGGAAATACATTCGTGCTCCCACTTGTTTGCATTATGTCATCCATCTTATTTTTCCCTTTGAAATGATTTTTGGCAATCTAGAATATCTATTTCGCTCTAAAGGAGCATCCATATTAAAATTGTGATAGTGCATTTTTCCACTGCAAATTTAGGGAAAATTCAGTTTTAAGGCATAGGATAGCCAGAAGACGTTACAACCTCACCAACCACTTCGGCCTAATCATCCCACTTCTTGTTCAAATAGACAAATACTAATAATTAAGGTGAAGCTGATTCAGGAACGATAAATCTCTTTATGACTAACAGGTCCATTAAATCGAAAAACTAATAAAGAAGATGCCTCTCTATAAAGCATTGATTTGAAGAGGGAAGAAGTCCCACAGAGAGACGATATGTGGGCGTTCCCAAATTGGGAACTATTCAGGTAAAGCCAATATAATTCACGCCTGTTAGCGTTTCAACCTACCTTCTCCTTTCAGGGCCTGTGGTGGCACCAAGTTGTCCATATTGTAAAAGTTTCTTCTTTTGTCCGGCATTTGTGAATACCTTCAACTCACTGTTATAGGTTCTACTTGTGCTGCAAAGTATCGTTTTGATTTTAGCTATATCGTTGATACTTCCTGTTTCCCAAGTCTCATGTAGTTTTACTAACTCGATAATTATGACATTTTATTGGCTGAATAAGTTAGATACTTGGCAAATAGATTTAGATTATTATTAGTTTCTCTCTTTCTCCACATTGTGGTTGGGGCTTATATAGTTTGGAAATTTTCAAATTTACTAACATTTTCTGCTGAAAAACTTATTCTTATGAGAAGTTATTTGGAGAAATAGGAGACTTCCATATTCCAGCACCAATAAACACCAGTATTTCTGGAAGAGAAGATAGACTGTGAAGGGAGGGGCTGCAAACACTGCTGTTAGTGCTCCATAGCTCTTAAATCCCTCTTGGATAAAAATGTGAGAGTAAGACAACAGGACCAAGAGATTAGAACCTGTTATCACCAACTTAAAATCTCACATCAGAAGACAATGTTGAGAAAAGAGATGGATCCAAAATGGAGTAGTAATTGTGCTAGGTTTTACCCCTGGTGGATTGATGTTTCTGATGGGAAGGAGCCAAAGAGAGGGGGGGCTGCTGGATGGAGGGATCGAGACAGTCTTCTTTAAGTTATCATCCCCGATCTGTTAATTTTGATAACCATATATAGTCTGATATAGGTCAGTTGAGTTTCTAACCAGGATGGAATTATGATTCCCGCTTTATTTTGACATTTCAGATTTACCGATGTACTTGGCGACGCAATCCATCATCGTCCTTGGCAAATGATTGCATCACTGCAATGGCTGAGGGGATGAGCTCTACTTTGTATAATCACTTTCTTGTTCTTCTTTGGCGCAATGGTGATCAAGCATATCTGAGTAGGACGGATCTGACTGCTGATTCTGAGTGGGAGTCCTTTCAAAGTGTAATATCACAAATATGCAAAGAGTCTAGTCATAATTCTGAAAAGCTTTCAGATTCTGTTTCATGCTCTTCATGGGAGTTCCTTATTAACAGCAGATATCATAAGCAATACAGCAAAAGCTATCCTATATCTGGATTTTCAGAAACTTCAATTGATCAGCAGGGATCGTATTCACCTGGATCATTCGTGGATACGTCACATAATGCTGAAAGTTCGTTGTATGCAGAATTGCTGGCAGAGACCCTAGATACACTGCATACTGTATACGAAAGTTTGAAACTAAANTCAGAAACTTCAATTGATCAGCAGGGATCGTATTCACCTGGATCATTCGTGGATACGTCACATAATGCTGAAAGTTCGTTGTATGCAGAATTGCTGGCAGAGACCCAAGATACACTGCATACTGTATATGAAAGTTTGAAACTAGAAAACCTCCGTAAACGGTAACATTCCTGTTTACATTTATTGTTTCATCAGCTCATTTGTCATGTTAAACCATCTTTTATGTTCATTCTTTCATTTGCGCTGTTAACACTAGTTCTTTATGCTTCTCAACAAGTACTATTGCTAAGGAACATTATGCTTTTCTCCGTATAGACAACAATCAGAGGGGAAAAAGGAGTCAGTTCCTGACATATTTTATGCATTTCAAGTACAAGGAAACCTAATCTGGAATTTAAGTTTTCATAGTTCAGCCTACTATATCCTCCTATGTTCATCAAAAATAATGTTGGTCTATCTGTGTTACCTGAAAGAAAAGAAGCAGGGGGAAAGATATGACTTAGGAGTCAGTTCCAGATCCTTCCACATTTGACCTTTGCAGAAAGTCTCCTAAATCTGATCTTTCAGATCTGCTGTTGATTCAGCTTTGATGCCCATTGTCTCTCCAAACTATTGTATTTATACACAGTGAGCTGTGATGCCCTTTTTCAATGTATATGCTGTAGATTGTCTGTTTGTCCCAAAAGAAATAAAACCAACACCCTCTTAGATATCTTTTGATCGTTTTAACTGAATTTGGAGCCCTTCTTCAGGATACATAAGAAGGCAATATAGTAAAGTCTTGGAGCTTTTATAGTATCAGTCTATCAGACTGGTGCAACAACAACAACAACAACAACATACCCAGTGTAATCTCACAAGTGAAGTCTGGGGAGGGTAGTGTGTACGCAGACCTTACCCCTACCTGGCGAGGTAGAGAGGCTGTTTCCGGTAGACCCTCGGCTCAAGAAAAGGTGAAAAGAGAGAAAGGAAGAAGACGAAGAAGAAAGAGGAAGAAGAAAGAAAGAATAGGGGGACAAAGGACGATAATAAAAAGGGAAAAAAGACAACTAAAGTAACAACAATCACGACAAAATAACAACAACAACAAAACAACAAGTAAAAGAAAAAGTAGCATCAAATATTAACAAACTGGAAAATATGATACACAGAGTAAACGAAACAATAAGCAAATACTAGAGGTCAAAGAATACCCAAAAAAACCAAGAGAGCTACTAATACTACTAAAAAAGAACGGGGAACTCTCGACTACCTACTAGCCTACTACCCTAATCTTTGACCTCCACACCCTCCTCCTCTGCACGTGCCCGAACCATTTTAGCCTCAACTCCCGCATCTTGTCCTCCACTGGAGCCACTCCCACTTTGTCCCGAATAACTTCGTTCCTAATCTTATCTCTCCTGGTATGCCCACACATCCATCTCAACATCCTCATTTCTGCTACTTTCATCCTCTGAACATGGGAGTTCTGAGTTCTTGACTGGCCAACACTCAGCCCCATACAACATAGTAGATCTAACCACAACTCTGTAGAACTTACCCTTAAGTCTTGGTGGCACCTTTGTTGTTAATTTTAATCAACAAACCAAAAAACAAGTGAATGTTTGTGATTAATGAAAGAGCAGAATATTAAAGGAATGAAGAACAGAGAAGAAATCTGAAAAGAGAGAGCATAAGACTAATACAGAACAAGGATTATTTTTCATTGTAATCTAAATTACAATTTATAAGAAAAACTTAACTACTAACTTCATGGTCCTGAATATCAGCACATGATCTACTTTAAAAAAACTAACAAGATACTGGGAAAAGTAATAACTGCAAAATTAAAACTAAGTAACTGCAGTCTAAGTAACTGCAACTATTCACAGCTAAACTGCAGTCCTAAAACATAGCAACTAACACTCCTCCTTGCTTTAGGATCTGCAGACACCAAGTTTCGATCTCAAAGACTCGAACATGTGAACTGACAATGGTTTGGTAAAAGCATCAGCTAATTGATCATCTGATTTGCAATAAATGAGAGTCACCTCCCCATTCTTCTGGACTTCTCTCAAGAAAACAACTTGATATTAAAGTGTTTCGTCTTTCCATGGAAAACAGGATTATGAGAAATAGCTATTGCAGCATGATTGTCAACAAATATCTCAGTTTCTTCTTTCTGCTCAAGATGAAGATCTTCCAATATTTTCCTCAACCACAATGCTTGATTCACCGCAGCTGCTGCTGCCACAAATTCTGCTTCCGCTGTCGATCGAGCTATTGTATCCTGCTTTTTGGAACTCCATGAAAAGACACCTGAACCAATAGTGAAACAGTATCCAGAAGTGCTCTTCATGTCGTCAACTGAACCACCCCAATCACTGTCGGAAAAACCAGTTAGTTTGAGTTGTTCACAACTTTTAAACTTGATTCCAAAATCAGTCGTTCCTTTGACATATCTGATCACCCTTTTTGCNAAAGACTCGAACTTGTCAACTGACAATGGTTTGGTAAAAGCATCAGCTAATTGATCATCTGATTTGCAATAAATGAGAGTCACCTCCCCATTCTTCTGGACTTTTCTCAAGAAAAACAACTTGATATTAAAGTGTTTCGTCTTTCCATGGAAAACAGGATTATGAGAAATAGCTATTGCAGCCTGATTGTCAACAAATATCTCAGTTTCTTCTTTCTGCTCAAGATGAAGATCTTCCAATATTTTCCTCAACCACAATGCTTGATTCACCGCAGCTGCTGCTGCCACAAATTCTGCTTCCGCTGTCGATTGAGCTATTGTATCCTGCTTTTTGGAACTCCATGAAAAGACACCTGAACCAATAGTGAAACAGTATCCAGAAGTGCTCTTCATGTCGTCAACTGAACCACCCCAATCACTGTCGGAAAAACCAGTTAGTTTGAGTTGTTCACAACTTTTAAACTTGATTCCAAAATCAGTCGTTCCTTTGACATATCTGATCACCCTATTTGCTGCCTTTAAATGCACTTTACTTGCACAATGCATGAAGCGAGATAGAATGCTTACAACATTGAGGATGTCAGGCCTTGTTGCTGTTAGATACATCAGACACTCAACCAAACTTCTGAAATATGACTCATCCACTTTCTGTGTTCCATCTTCTTTGCTCAATTTTTCTTTTTGATTCATCGGAGTGCTCATCTCTTTGCAGTCTTCCATGCAAAACTTTTTTAGTATCTCTTTTGCATATTTTTTCTGACAAATGAACACTTCACCCCGATCTTGTTTAATCTCCATGCCTAGGAAGTAAGACATAAGCCCAAGATCTGTCATTTCAAACACTTTCATCATTTCTTGTTTGAAATCTTCAATTTGATATGCGCTACTTCCTGTAACCAGAAGATCGTCAACATAAAGTGAAATAATTAGAGTATCATTTCCACTATATTTGACATACAAAGTGGACTCAGATAAGCTTTTTTCAAAGCCTAAACTGAGTAAATGGTCATCAATTCTACTGTACCAAGCTCTTGGAGCTTGTTTCAATCCATAGAGTGCCTTTTTAAGAAGATTGACTTTATATTTCTCCTTCTTTCACATAGCCTTCTGGTTGCTCTACATAGATCTCCTCCTGCAGAAAACCATTCAGGAATGCTGATTTGACATCTAACTGGTACACTTTCCATTTCTTTTGTGCTGCAACAGCGAGTAAAAGCCTAATAGTGTCAAGTCTCGCTACTGGTGCAAAGGTATCTGAGTAGTCCACACCGAATATTTGAGCATATCCTTTGACCACGAGCCTAGCTTTATGCTTGTTGATTGAGCCATCAGCATTAAGCTTTGTTCTGTACACCCATTTGACTCCAATCACCTTTCTGTTTTGAGGTCGATCAACTAACTCCCATGTTTTGTTCTTTTCAATCATGAGCAACTCCTCTTTCATTGCAGCACTCCAATCTTCATTCTTCTGAGCTTCTTCATAATGAGCAGGTTCACAAATTGCAATGTTACTTTTCTGATAAACATCAGAAAGTAATCGTGTGCCTCGAACAAGAATGTGATCCACCAAATCATTTTGCCCATCTCTTGTGATACTTTGATCTAATGTATCTGAAGCAGGCAACTTGAACTTTGAAGTCAGATCCTTCTTATCTGCATCGTCCCAGTTCCACCCTTCATCTTCCTTAAAGTGCACATCTCTACTTACAATAATCTTTCCCGTTTGTGGCTGGAACACTTTATAAGCTTTTGCAACAGAACTGTAGCCAATAAAGATGCCTGGAAGTGCTCTTTTATCTAATTTATCCCTCTTGATTTGTGGAACGTGAGTGAAGCACAGACATCCAAATATTCTAAGAAAATTCAGAGATGGTTTATAATCATGCCATGCTTCGAAAGGTGTTTGATTCTTCAATGCTCTTGTGGGAAGCCTGTTTTGTATAAAAACAGCCGTATGAGCTGCTTCTGCCCAGAACTGCTTGGGTAGATTCTTCTCATGTAACATGCATCTTGTCATCTCTAGGATATATCTGTTTCTTCTTTCACGAACTCCATTTTGTTGCGGAGTATAAGGAGCAGTAGGCTGGTGTTCAATGCCAGATTCCTCGCAAAACAAATTAAATTCTTTTGAGGTGTATTCTTTTCCATTATCTGACCTTAGAACTTGAATTTTGCAGCCACTTTGGTTTTCCACCATTTTCTGGAACTTCCAAAACACTCTAGCTACTTCTGATTTGAATTTCAAGAAATAAATCCAGCACATTCTTGTAAAATCATCAATGAAAGCAATATAATATCGACTACCTGCTAATGACGGAGTTCTTTGAGGACCAGATACATCTGTATGGATCAATTGCAGCTTGTGAGTGGCTCTCCAGGTTGACTTAGGAAAGAATTTCCTATTTTGCTTTCCAAACTGACATGCTCTGCAGTTTGGAATGGGATCATCGAACTCTGGAAGATCATTTGCCATCCTTTTAGATTTCATTCGCAACAGCTCCTCATGATGATAGTGCCCGAGCCTCTTATGCCAAACTTCTGTGACACTTTCTTTGACTTGAAAAGCAGTTTGCTCCTCCTCCAATGGATTTAGTGAGAAACTCTTGCCCACCATTTTGACCTTGAATATCTCATGGCCTGATGGATCTTCTATCACACATGCTTTGTTTACGAAGTGAAGTACGTATCCTTTCTCCATTAATTGACCAACACTTAGCAGATTTTGATCAATATCTGGGACATAGAGAACATGTGTGATAAACTTAGTTCCTGAACAACTTGNGATTTTGATCAATATCTGGGACATAGATAATATCTGTGATAAACTTAGTTCCTGAACAACTTGCAATGGCTATGGTGCCCTTGCCTTTAGCAGGAATATACTCACCATTTCCAATTCTAACTTTCTTCGTCTCAGTGCTCCTTAACTCTTTTGAATAGCGCCTTATCATACGTCATGTGGTTAGTGCAACAACTATCGATTAACCAACTTTCACTTGAATCGCGACTTGTGAAACAAGTTGCAACAAAGAGTTGATCGTCTTCTTCTTGTTCAACAACTTGAGCTTCTACTTCATGTTGCTGAATTTTGCTTTTGCAAATTACAGCTTCGTGACCCTGCTGATTGCACTTGCTGCATTTTGCATTAGGTCTCCTCCAACATTTGAAAGGAGGGTGACCTTTTTTACCACAATGTTGACAAGGCGGAAAGTTTGTCTTCTTGCTTCCAGTCTTGATTTTGTTGTTGTTTCCAACGTTCTCATTGTTTGCTCCTTGGATCTTTTTGTTCTGCTTCTTCTGGTTTCTTCTACTGTCTTGATGCTTCACTGGTAAGGCTCCTTTAACAGCTCCTTCTTGTCTCATAACACGTCATTGCTCTTGTGCTTGAAAAGTACTCAAGAGCTCTGCTAGTGTGCTTTTGGACAAGTCGTTAGTATTTTCTAAGGTTGTAATGGTAGCCTCAAATCTTTCAGGCACCGTTACAAGGATTTTCTCAACGATTCTTGAATCGTTTAAAGTGGAACCCAACAATCTGACACGATTTGCTATGTTAAGAAGTCTGTCAGAATATTCCTTTATGGTTTCACTGTCTTTCATCCTTTGCAACTCAAATTCACGCACTAAATTCAGCATTTGCATTCCTCGAACTTTTTCATCTCCTTCATATTCAGTCTTGAGATAATCCCATACCACTTTTGCTGACTTCAGAGACATGATACGAGTAAAGATGGTGGATGAAACTGCAGCAAACAAGCATGCCTTTGCCTTTGACTTTCTGATTTTCCTCTCCTTGTAATTTTTGATCTGAGCCATCGTGGGATTGTTTGGCAAGGGAGCAATTTCGTAATCATCTTCAACAGCCTCTCAAAGATCCAATGCTTCCAAATAGGTCTGCATTCTAACTGTCCAGATCTGATAACTTTCTCCATCAAAGGTTGGTGGTGCTATTGAAGAAAAACTTGTTTCTCCGTCCATGGCGTCCACGGAATCTGCTTGCATTCACACAGGCCCCTCAAGAAAAAACAGCTCTGATACCAATTGTTGTTAATTTTAATCAACAAACCAGAAAACAAGTGAATGTTTGTGATTAATGAAAGAGCAGAATATTAAAGGAATGAAGAACAGAGAAGAAATCTGAAAAGATAGAGCATAAGACTAATACAGAACAAGGATTACTTTTCATTGTAATCTAAGTTACAATTTATAAGAAAAACTTAACTACTAACTTCATGGTCCTGAATATCAGCACATGATCTACTTTAAAAAAAACTAACAAGATACTGGGAAAAGTAATAAATGCAGAATTAAAACTAAGTAACTACAGTCAAAGTAACTGCAACTATTCACAGCTAAACTGCAGTCCTAAAACATAGCAACTAACAACCTTCTTATCACACAAAACACCGGATGCGAGCCTCCATTTCATCCACCCCGCACCGATACGGTGGGAGACCTCATCATCAATCTCCCCGTTACCTTGGATTATAGACCCGAGATACTTGAAACTACCCCTCCTCGGGTTGACTTGGGTATCAGACTGGTGCCAGAATATAATTTAGTGGTGACCGATGTCACGACATTTGCGTCTTCATTCTAGTTGGATAAGTTGAAAGTTTTGAGCTATCCTGCTGATTTAACACTCGTTGTATCTCTAAGCCACTATATTTGTAATGTTGGTCTGTGAATTGGAGTGGCAATTGCACACAGTATTTTTTGATAAGTTATGGTGCACACAGTGGCTAAAGCTTTAGCTTATCTGCCTTCAGAGTTGAATAAAATCTTGTAATTAATATCTCTGAGTAGAAGTATTTTAGTTGTGAAATTTTTAATGCTTTTTCACAATTTCATCATATTTCTGGTGATGCAGATTGATCAGATTCTATATGAAGTGATCTGCATTGCTCTTGCAAATAAATAGGAAAAAAGGAAAAAGAGAAGATGGTTTCACATTACATAGGTTGTTTGAGATCTCTGTGGAGTCCTTTGTTTTTACTTCTAATGACTTATTTGCTATCCAATAATCATATGTTGTAAAAGTAAAATTGCAAGATTCTCTAGAAATGAGCTCTGTTTGCTGTAACATAATCTATTAGGCTGAAGTTTAGGATAACCTTCCATGATGCGTTGATCCCCACCAATAGTGCGTACAGATAGCTAATGTTATGTCAGAGGATCCAAAAGGAGAAACACGAAAAAAGAAAGAAACAAAAAAAAAAAACAAGTTGTGCATGAATTTTCTTTTGGTCTCGTTGGCTTGCAACTCTAAGCTTGGAATTTTGGTTCGGAACTCATGTTGCTTGTCAGTTGGAAACTTTATTGAATATGAGATGAGTGGCTTTATATGCCACCTTCCTTTGCCCGGGGAGGAAGGTGGAATGTCTGCTGATTAATTGAGTTTCTAGGGGGTAAAATATATCCTGCCAATGGATCAACACTGTGAGTTGGACTTGATGTTAACAGTTCAAAATATATTTGTAGATTAAGAGCAATTTTTTCCTGTATTAACTCAATGACTTCTGCAGTTTTTTCTGATGTGTTAGTAAAATCTCTTTCGCTTATTGCACTTCCATAATCTCATGTGGTATCCACTTAATATACTAAACTTAATGCAGAGATTTGGGTCTTCTGGTGGTTCTATTATGTGATATTGCTGCTTTCCTGCACGAAGATTGCTACTTGGATCATTATATACGCGACTTTCCTTGCCTCTCAAAAGGCCGTGAAGTATCTCTCACCTCATCCTCCAAGAAAATTCCTCCTAGTTTATTCAAATGGCTTGAGTCCTGCTTGAAGCATGGGTGTAGTTCTGCTAGTATCAGTCATCTCCCATCTTTGATCTTCAAAGACGGAAGTTCTGTTGTCAACTGGGGACGGAAAATTGTATCTTTCTATAGCTTGTTATGTGGCGCTGAGCTTTTGGGTAAAAGGTTATCTTCTGGGGTTTCTTGTGCTGTTGCATCTGGATCATTTAATACTCCAGAGGAACTAACTATCTTGGCAATGGTTGGAGAAAGAGTAGGTCTGCAGCAGTTAGACTTGTTGCCTGCTGGAGTTTCCCTTCCTCTTCGAGATGTAAGTGAAGAGCTCAAAGAAATCTACATCTGAGGTTTCCAATCCAAAATAAGGAAGTGTAAAATTTGGTTATTCTTGATCTATTCGCTTGAACATACAAATAGGCCAACCGGAGATGTTGCATAATGAGATCTTTTACCCTAAATGGATGTACAATCTTCTCCTTTTAATTGCACCAGTTCACATTACAAAATTTTACTCAGATGTTTCCATGCACTCAAGATTTTCTTTTTTGGTTGACTTGCTTTTTATTAACAAAAGGGGTGATTTTGTTCTTATGCAGGCATTGGATAAATGTCGTGAATCTCCTCCAATGGATTGGCCTGCTGCTGCTTATGTTCTTCTTGGCCGGGAGGATTTGGCTTTCTCACGATTAGCATATTCAAGAAAATCCGTGGAGCTTGAGCCCCACATTAATGTTAATATGACATGTATGTCCACTCCTTACATGTTGAACCTGCATCCGGTGACAATTCCTTCCTCAATATCTGACACAATAGAGTCAGATGATAACAAGCTAGAGGATGTAGATTCTGTTGAGGGATCTGTGGCTGATGGTATGGAGCATATTTTCAACTCTGGCATCCAGTTGCGTTATGGTCGTGATCTGCGGTTGAATGAGGTCGGTTTATTAATATTGTGCATTACTGAAATAGATGTTTGCGGGCAATGTTTTCCACTAAAATACAACCTTGCCATACTTATAGGAGCTATCCATGAATTAACTCATGAGAGAGTGATACTTACCCTCAACTGGGTGGCCATCCAATAACTCTTCTCTAAAAAGTCAATCCACATTCATTTCTTTATGGAAACTCATAAATACTGACTGTCATGTCATTTTTATTTGTGATGTGAAAACCACAGTGTATACTTGGTGATGTCAATAGACCATTAAATTAGTTTCTCTGGCATACCTGATCTATTCATTTGCTAATTTCATCACGAAGTTCCATGCACGGTCGAGTGCTGTACTTATGTAATTTGTTTATTCTTCTTTACTATCATTAAAAAGTGATTTTGCTTTCATAGGTTAGACGTCTTCTATGCTCTGCTAGGCCTGTCGTTATTCAAACACCTGTTAATCCAACTGCATCAGATCAGGACCTTCAACAGGTATACTGTTTCAATAATTTGGTAATGTTCTTTTTAGTTGGAACTTCATGACCCCTGTAACTAGCACTGACTATTTTTTGGACTTTGTAAGCTCTCTGATCATAGCATAGCTTTTTTTGTATTAATAGAGCTAATAGTCATCTCTCTTTGTAACCTTTTGTTTCCTTATGCATCTTCTTGATGCCTTTTTTAATGAAAACACCTTACTTTATCAATTCTTTTTTGGTAATGTGCTACATGTACTATAAATAAGGCTACCTGTTTTCCCAGTGCTACTAATAGTGTAATGACAACAGTTGTTTTTTTCCTAAGTGAATAACCCCC